GTCTCCCTATTTCTGAGGTCTCAAGGTTGGCAAGTATGATCAAAACTTGCTCTCTCTCTCTCGCCGTCACTCCTAAAACTTCCCCGTCTTCCTAAACAACCAAATGTCATGTTGCCATATCATTTTTTGTCTGGTTGACATGGTGCATTTTTCCATCAACACGAAATAGGTCTTTTTTGTTTTGTTTTGTTTTGCTGGCGCTGTCCTTAGACAGTAAACGTGATGAAACTATTCAGGAAAAAAGGCTGCATATATATTGTTTTATCATGACTCTGGTTTGTGAGACAAAAATAATACAAAATGCAGTTTCTAAATGAAGGTGTGTATGATTAAGGGAAAAATCCAAACCTACATGGCCCTGTGTGAAAGACTGATTGTCCCCTACACCTAACCTGGCCTGGTTGGGCTACTCTTACAAGCAGCAACTGCAATCAAGCATTTGTGATTTGCATTTGCATCTTGAGAATGAACCGCCTTTTTAAAGTCATGCCACAGCATCTCAATCAGATTCAGGTCAGGACTTTGACTAGACAACTCCAAAGTCTTCATTTTACTTTTTTAAAGTCATTCATGGATGGACATGCTACAGAACCCAAGGGTGCTTCAGCATTAGGTAACGGACACATAATCAGACATTCTCCTTCAGGATGTTATTTGGCAGTAACAGCCCCAGACTATCACATCACCACCATGTTTTCCTGTTGGTATAATGTTCCTTTTCTGAAATGCTGGGTTACTTTTATGGCAGATGTAACGGGACACACACCAAAAGTTTACTTTTTTCTCATCAGTCCACAAATTATTTTCCCCAAAGTTTTGGGGATCATCAAGAAAACTGAGTTGAGCCTTTACGTTCTTTTTGCTCAACAGTGGTTTTTGTCTTGGAACTTGGCTATGTAGGTGATTTTTGCCCCCTTTTCTTTCTACAGTTCTTACAGTTGAAGCCTACTGTTCTTCAATGTCTTTCTGGGTTTTTCTGTGACCTCCTGAGTTAATCGTCTTTGCACTCTTTGGGTAATTTTGGTAGGCCGGTCACTCCTGGGAAGGTTCATCACTGTTCTAACTTACCTCCCTTTTTGGACAATGACTCTCACTGTGGTTTGCTGGAGTCCCACAGCTTTACAAATTGCTTTTATAACCTTTTATAACCTTTTCCAGAGTGAGAGATTTGAATTACTTTGCTTCTCTTTTGTTCCTTTGGACTGCGGCATGATCTCTTGCTTTTGAGGATGTTTGTCAGGCAGTTCTGTTTAAGTGATCTCTTGATTCAGAACAGGTATGGCAGTAATCAAGCCTGGGTGTGGCTGAAGAAATTGAACTCAGCTTTCCAAAGATGTGATGCACTGTTACGTGCCTGTGTTGGTTGTGTGGTTTCTGGATTTGCATATGTCAATTCACCTGTGCAGGGGCTCGGCTATGATTGGTGGACGTAAGGATCGGCCTGCTGTAACTGGCTCCCACTGTGGACGTAATCAATAAAAGGACGACAGAAGAGCAGCGGTGTGTGGAAAACCTCCCGTACACTTGCCTCGGGTCCAGATGGACCAGCTACAGCCATAGCTACTTAAATTCAGGCATGTGCGTAAAGTGTGGAACAAGTAGGGGTGAGCTGCCGATTATTTTGGGAAGCTTTGTTTTCTCCTGTGTTGTTAGACCAGGGAGGTCAGACTGTGTCATTTCTTTCGTTGTTTTCTTGAAGAGGTCAAAGGGGAATCGAAGCTTGGGTTGGGTTTTGTTTTTTGTGTTGGCCTTGGCTCACCCTGAAATTATACACTCCCACTATCGTTGTACTGAGTGTCATTGCCGTAAATAAATTATTGTAAAAGCCCGATGCTGTGGCTGTTTGGGCGTGGGAAGTCACGGGACACCCTGCTCTCATTATGGTCATTCTGAGCTGGGTCACAACATGATTTGGGGGCTTGTCCGTTTTGTCATATTTTTTGGCTGATTTTGTGGTCTAATACACCAGAGTTAATGATTGTTATAACGGGGGTGGGGAATCACTTTTTCACACAGGCCATGTAGGTATGTTTTCTTTTATCCCGCATAATAAGAAATACCTTAATTTGGGAACTGTATTTTGTGTTTACTTGTGTTATCGTTGTCTAATATTTCAATTTGTTTGATGAACTGAAAAATGTAAGTGTGACAAACATCCAAAAAAAAAAATAATGAAATCGAGAGGTGGGCAAAGACTTCTTCATGCCACTGTATGTCACAAGATGGAAATCCCCAACTGGAAAAATCTCTGGACAAATAAATTACATGTCTATTAATAAATCTTGGGCAGATATGTAAATGCCAGAGAAATCATTCTTGCATCTTTGCTGGTCAGATCTGTAATTTGTCTTGAACCAAAATGTTAGAATAAACATTGTGTGTCCTACAGGGTCCTGGTCTGTACTATGTGGATGATAATGGGACGCGTCTGTCTGGTCGTATGTTTTCTACCGGCTGTGGAAATAGTTACGCCTACGGTGTGGTGGACAGCGGCTATAGGGAAGACATGACAGTTGAGGAGGCGTATGAGCTCGGCCGTCGAGGCATTACACATGCTACACACAGAGATGCTTACTCTGGAGGGGTGGTCAACAGTGAGTACACACCGAGAATGACAATTCTCAGCATTTCTTTTTGTCTGAGTGCCAAATTTATTACGTTTTTTTGTATGATATGTTTCAATTTCTATGTATTTGTTTCTTATTTGTATTTTGTGTTTTGTTCTAATATAATACATTATGCAAAGCTCAGTCTAATTCAAAATCTTTAAAGTAACATTGAATACTGTATACTCTCATACAATACTAGCACATTGTAAATAACATACAGTAAACACCTGGAAATATAAATAAAAATGCAATTTCTGTTTATGTGTTAGTGTGCCAATATTTGCTCATTGTTGTGTTTTGGGGATTTTGTGTGTTTGTTTGTGCGTCTAGTGTATCACATGAGGGAAGATGGCTGGATAAAGGTGTGTAAGGATGACGTGTCGGAGCTGATCCATCGCTACAGAAAAGGAATGTTCTGAGTTTCATCAATAAATCCAGATCAGCATGTTGAAAACTGTCCAAAACAATACTGATGTTTTTGAATCCACAGACCTCAATGTAAACAGTTTTCACTGCGACTCAAATAGAGAATAATTCAAAGAAAAACAGCTGGAATAAATCTACTGGAAAATTAGATTTTGTACTAAATATTAAGATGTTTCCTTACAAGATTGTACTTATTAAAATCATTCCAAATCAAGACTCATGTAATAATTCCTGTAAACTATGTTGTTTTGCACTGTGTATTAGCATAATTGGCATGTCTGTCTGAATGATAATGTATAGTAGTATAATGACATTAATTATCTACAGCTGTAGTTAAAATATAGATCTGATATATATTACAATATACAAAATATACATACCAAGTAAAATACAAAACCTTACTTACTGAATCAAGAAAATAGTGATAATATCATTCTTCATTATTTAAACAAACTATCTAGAGCTAGTTTGATTTCAGTTTAATCAGAGAATCTTATTGGCATCTATGCATTTTTCGCAATAGAGACTTGAAGACAGATTATTTATGGCATATAGAAAATCACATTATTCATATGCAATGTGCAGAATAAGAAAGTAGTGTTCCTAAGTTGAAATTTGTTACTTCTCATTCCAGCAACATGATGAATTGCTGGAATTAGCCGATGAATAATACCATGGGCTAATGTTTCCCTTATTTAGAGTTAGTGTGAGGAAATGTCAGAGGCCAAAGCCATTGTCTCATATGATGTGCAGTAGTTTTTGCAGTAGCATTAAAATTAATAAAGGAAGAGAGAGAAAGAAAGTTCATGTTGTCCTTAAACTCAACTTTTTTTCTTCCAAACCAATTCAGCTCTGTCCCCAGCAACCTACGTCTATTGCAGCATAATTAAGGGAAGATTCAGGGTCACCTGGTCCAGCCCTAACTATATGCTTTAGCAAAAAGGAAAGTTTTAAGCTTAATCTTAAAAGTAGAGATAGTGTCTGTCTCCCGAATCCAAACTGTAAGCTGGTTCCACAGAAGAGGGGCCTGAAAACTGAAGGCTCTGTCTCCCCGATTACATGGGGCCAGATTAATTAACCCTTGTGTGGTGTTCGTATTTTTGTTACTCAGCCAGTGTTCATGGGTCTGGTGGACCCGCTAGAGTTTTGGCTTTCCAAATTAACACTATCAAACAATTTTATGTTAAATTACTCAACAGATGTTTACTTCATCCCAATTACAAGACATATGAACAGCAAACATGGTTAATTTTTTCCCTTTACCTTTGTTAGATCACATTTATGAATTAATGTGCTTCTCGTTTTTCTTTTATATAAAATGTTATAAATAAATCAGTTATAATCAAGTGGAGGGAGTGGAAAGACACAACACATTTACACGTGAAAAAATAATTAATTGTTTAATTTTTCTTTTGAAAAAAACTGAACACGGGTCTCACAGACCCGAACACCATACAAGGGTTAAGACCTTGCATGTGAGGAGCAGGATTTTGAATTCAATTCTGGATTTAACAGGAAGCCAATGAAGGGAAGCCAAAACAGGAGAAATCTGCTCTCTTTCTAGTCCCTGTCAGTACTCTTGCTGCAGCATTTTGGATTAGTTGAATAAACAAGACAAAGAACCAAAAACACAAAGTCAACGACCTAGTTACCTTAACACATTTAGACTGACGGGTTGGTGGAGAGGCCGAGTAAGACTGTAAAGTCCATGATTTGTAAGTTCATTCATGAGGATGAACACAATTGGGCTCGCTGTTTAGACCCTCATCTAAGGAGCTTGGAAAGCTCTGGACTTCTTTAAGTTGCTTGAAGATGTTTCACCTCTCATCCGAGAAGCTTCTTCAGTTCTAAGGGTCAAATGGCGGAGAGTCCCAGATTTAAGCCCAGTGGGAGTATCCCCCCAAAGAGGGACAAAGGACCCCCCAATGATCCTCTACCTAACCACATGAGCCAAGGTGTGAAAGCGGGTGTAGGTCCCAATCAGCCAGGGTTTTAGGTGTGTTCATTGTGAAACCTAGCCCCACCCTATTGTGATTTCCTGAGGTCAGATGGCCCAGGTTGTGAGTGGGTGTTAAGGCGTCTGGGAAGGGTTCTCAAAACTGGGTTATAGATGGCAGACAGTTGGTGTCGTAAACCCAGTAGCAGATTTAGATACGGGCGACACGGGCGGTTGCCCGGGGCGGCATCGTGGTGGGGGGCGGCATCAAGGGCATCGGCAAAAAAAAAAAATTGCTCGTACTCATGCTGCCCCGAGATCAGCCAGCGCATATTGGGAATGGCATAAGCACCGATCAGTTTTCTGTCACCCATTTGCTGGGAGTAAGGGCTTCCTCCGTTTGTGCTTGCGGCCAGTGTTGGGGAGTAACGGAATACGTTACGTATTTAAAATACTGTCACAAACTGAAAGCAGGGACTCAAGCGCAGAGCAGGTTGACGTATCAGAACACGATTTATTTACACACCAGTGCAATACTATATACAGTGACGGGGGAAAGTCCAGGATTCCAAGGGATTAGGGGAAGGCTCTCTCTCTCTCTCTCACGCTCGCTCACGTCCTTACATCCGACTCACACACGTCCGTACCGCGGGGAGGTCACAGGTCCGGGAAGATAAACTGGAATAGGGAAGGGAGAAATCACTCACAAATCAGAAGGTAGGGCGTAAAGGTATAAGACCAAAAGAAAGACTAACGTCAGTAGCTCAATCATCCAGCGATGAGAGGATCTGTGACCCAGCCTCAAATAGTAGATCGGTAATCAGCTGATCGCCATCAGCTGATCGCCAACAGCTGTGTGAGCCAAGGGTGGGAGCCAGCTGTGAGCTCCGCCCAGGCAGAGAGGTAGGGGAGAGAGAGAAAAAGCAAAAACACAAGTGTAGCCCTGTGAGGCCGGCTGGGCAGGCACAGGGACCATGACAAATACAAAATATGAGTAACTGTATTCCGTTACAGTTACCATTTAAAAAGGTGGTATTTAGAATACAGTTACTTTGTTGAAATAAATAGATTACACGGCGGTACTTCCCTGTTTCATATTGTGGCGGGTCAGGACTGTTTGGGTTTTGTTTGACAGCTACGTTCTGTTGTTCCAGGCGGCAGCGTTACGGTTGCCATGGTTACATGGTGACGCTCTCTCTCTCTCTCTCTCTCTCTCTCTCTCTGTTTCCTGGGCGAGAGAGCGCCTTTTTGTTGTTGTTGTGCTAAGCTAATAGGCAGAATGCTACAGGTGTCTGTGAAGGTTCTCAGTCATCCAGGTCATCGTAGTCAAAGGAGCTTGCAAAGAAAAGCGTCTGGACTTCTTTAAGTTACTTGAAGACGTTTCACCTCTCATCCGAGAAGCTTCTTCAGTTCTAAGGTCAAATGGTGGAGAGTCCCAGATATAAACCTAGTGGGAGTTTCCCCCCACAGAGGGACAAAAGGACCCCTGATGATCCTCTAATCGCCTGAGCCAAGGTGTGAAACTGGGTGTGGGTCCCAATCAGCCAGAGTTTCGGGTGAGTTCATTGTGAAACCTGGCCCCACCTTATCATGCGAATTCCTGAGGTCAGATGGCCCAGGATGTGAGTGGGCGTTAAGGCGTCTGGGAAGGGATCTCAAAACTGGATTATAGATGGCAGAGAGTTGGTGTCGTAAACCCCGCCTCTGTTCAAAGATGGTCGCTCACAGTGGACATAGATGCTTCTTTCACTCCTCTTTCAAACCATCTGTCCTCTCTGTCCAAAATGTGAACATTGGCATCCTCAAAGAGTGTCCTTTATCCTTAAGATGCAGATGGACTGCTGAGTCTTGTCCTGTGGAGGTGGCTCTTCTGTGTTGTGCCATGCGCTTGTGAAGTGGCTGTTTGGTCTCTCCAATGTAGAGGTCTGGGCATTCCTCGCTGCACTGTACAGCATACACCACATTGTTAAGTCTGTGTTTTGGCGTTTTGTCTTTCGGGTGAACCAGTTTTGTCTGAGCGTGTTGCTGGGTCTGAAATACACTGGGATGTCATGCTTGGAGAAAACTCTCCTGAGTTTTTCTGATACACCGGCTACATAGGGGATGACAATGTTGTTGCGTCTGTCCTTCTTGTTTGTCTTTCTTATCCTCCCTAGTTGGTGTCTGATCTTCTTTCCTGTGACTCTTTGCTGACTTGTTTAGACCCTCTGTTGTTTGTGTGGTGGCACAAATGGGGGATAACCAGGGAAGGTGACTAATGGATGTTGACAAGGTCACCTGGGGGAAGAGGTACACTCCAGGAAAGATTTTTATAGCCAATGTAGATGTTACACTAGCTACCAAAGCCCACAGGCTCATTATTAACAGCAGAGGTGAAGCAGATCAGTTTTTACAAATCGAAATTTATTAAGAAAAACTACTAAAAGCATAGAACTGTAAAATCAGAGAAGTTCTTAAGGTAGCAGGGCAGGTAGAGTCTGCAAGATGGTTAATTAAAACACTTTATTAACAAACAATGATTAAAATGACAAGGCTCGCTGCCACAGTGCTACCCTAGTAAAATACCAACTGGATAAAATAACTAAAAATGGTGAAGACCGGCCGCTTGAAGAGGCAACCTACAGAGAGGAGTCCCCAAGGGTGCCACCAATTACTCACCCGTGTAGTTCCACTGCAAACCTCACTGTCGCTCACACTGAAATCTAAATGGTGGCAAACTTTCCCTTAAATCTTGGTTAAAAAGCATCTGCAACTATATTTAAGATTTTAGATCTTTTTTAACAGATTTTATGATGTGAACAATCAACAAACTCTAGTTTATGGAGGAGAATGAGCAGACACCACGTCTTCTCTCAGGTTCTCGTTATCCAACTATCCATAAACCTGAAAATATAAAAAGAAAAAAAATAAATGTTAGGATTGTTCATATCCACAAATAATCTATTTACTGCTAAACACAAACTTAACCTATTTGCTCTTGGACTTCACAGTTCTCTGCAGCTGTAGGTCAGAAACACTGTTAGTCCACATCCTGCTCTGATCTGTCACTGTTACAACAATCTAATACCAAATTTTTCCGGTACAACTTCACCTACATGCGAGATGCATGGAGAAGACAAAGATCTGATGACGTGAAGACTCCAGTGACACTTAAAGTATTAGGGAGCAGCTTTATTAGATCAGTATTTAAGGTTTGACTCTCATCATCATCATCATCATCATCGTTTATTTATATAACACTTTAAAAACACACCTGGTAGACCAAAGTGCTGAACAAT